TATCTTTTTGGTTTATTGAGATACTGTTTGAAAGCTTAGATTGATTAATTACAACATCGAGTTTAACGCCTTCCAGATCCATAGACAAGTCATAATATTCAGAGCGAGATGAGTTTCTGTTTGATTATGGTTGTTTAGGACATCGGACTTGTATAATTGTTCTGAATCGGCGTTTATGCACCCGATTAGCGCGTTTGACGCCGGCTGACAGCCGGAAATTTTGTCTCCGATTGCTCGGCTGCCAGCCGGGCTGTACTATAGTATACTAGTCGTTCAAAAAATGCGCGCATTTCGGAGACTGGTTCTAGAATGTTTCATAAGCAGAAAACCACCAAAATTACATTAAATTTTCAGAAAATCATCGAAATGCATCTAAATTCATCTTCCCAATGCATATAGCTAGCTATGCGACAGGTAAATAAACGAGAAAAAAACCCAATTTCGGCAAAAAGAAAAATTCAAATTCGTTTGCGCGCATTCCGGGATTGAACCCACGACCCTCAGCATACACGCTGAGTCTTGTCCCTCTGCGCCACCACGTCTTACACGGAAAATATGTTAATTTATTGTATATATATAGGTTATTCTCAGCCAGCTCGATTAAAGATTGCGCAAATACGTACACCATCGTACACGGCCAAGGGTACAGTAGCAGCCGAGCCGTATCTACACTTTAATACAATACTTACAATACATCGCGGCATAGATCACGGCTTCCAGCAGGGGTTATTTAACTGTAATACAATACTACCATACAATACGAGTGTCAGCCAAGCCTGTCGGTAGTATACTGTAGTATACTACGATACTTCACGGCTACCAGCCGACAATACGGCTATCAGCCGGGCCTGTCTGTAGTATACTGTAGTATACTACAATACATCGCGGGTACCAGCCGGCAATATGGCTATCAGCCGGGCGTGTCTGTAGTATACTATAGTATATTACAGACACGCCCGGCTGATAGCCGTATTGCCGGCTGGTAGCCGCGATGTATTGTAGTATACTACAGTATACTACCGACAGGCTCGGCTGACACTCGTATTGCATTGTAGTATTTTATTACAGTTAAATAACCCCGGCTGGTAGCCGTCATGTATTGTAGTATACTATAGTATACTACAGACAGGCCCGGCTGATAGCCGTGTTGTCGGCTGATAGCCGTATTGTCGGCTGGTAGCCGTGATGTATCGTAGTATACTACAGTATACTACCGACAGGCTTGGCTGACACTCTTTATTGCATGGTAGTATTGTATTACAGTTAAATAACCCCGGCTGGAAGCCGTGATCTATGCCGCGATGTATTGTAAGTATTGTATTAAAGTGTAGATACGGCTCGGCTGCTACACTGATCTACTATTAGATCAGTGGGCTGCTACTGTACCCTTGGCCGTGTACGATGTTGTACGTATTTACGCAATCTTTAATCGCGCTGGCTAAGAATAACCTGTATATATACAATAAATTAACATACTTTCCGTGTAAGACGTGGTGGCGCAGAGGGACAAGACTCAGCGTGTATGCTGAAGGTCGTGAGTTCGGTCCCGGAATGCGCTCAAACGAATTTGAATTTTTCTTTTTGACGAAATTGTTTTTTTTTCTCGTTTATTTACCTGTCACATAGCTAGCTATATGCATTGGGAAGATGAATTTAGATGTATTTCGATGATTTTCTGAAAATTTAATGTAATTTTGGTGGTTTTCTGCTTATGAAACATTCTAGAACCAGTCTCCGAAATGCGCGCATTTTTTGAACGACTAGTATACTATAGTACAGCCCGGCTGGCAGCCGAGCAATCGGAGACAAAATTTCCGGCTGTCAGCCGGCGTCAAACGCGCTAATCGGGTGAGTGACCGATCTATAGAGTAAACAATCCGGGGGGAGCTTGCAAATTATTTTTATTACGTTTTCTACTAAGAGCTTCGCGATGTTCGCATTGTTCGGCCAACTAATCGTTCATAGCTGTTTGTAGATTATAACAATCTATATTTATATTCATGATGGTACATGTTCTTACTTATTTATCTGACATTTAGAGAAGTTATAACAGTTAGGCTATAACCAAATTACTGTTGCATTTCAAGCACTTGTTCAGTATATGATATGCCCCCCTGTAACATAAATACACGTGCATAATACACGTGCTTTCATATGTTATTATTTTACAATGGCGGACCTGGACGAGCGGTGACTATTGAGCGGCGGTGTGAAATCGTGTAGACTATAGAGTGTATTACATCTGAGGTTGATAGTATTATAGCACAGTGGTTTAATATCTACGAAAGATACGGAGCGATGTATGCATGAATAAGTGCCAATGGATAGTTTTGATATAAAATTATAAGTCAGCAGCTGATTTCTATCAGCTAGCTTATTCTTGTATTATTTATATATCACGATATAACCCGCGGAAAGAGGGACCGCTCGCAGTCTATATCAGTTAGCTTATTCTTGTATTATTATATCGCGATAGAGCTAGGTTTACATGGCCCAATATTCAATAAATAGTAAATCATATAATAAAATTGAAATTTTGCTCCAGAGGCAACATGCCGAGGTCGAGCGTATTTATATTGTAGCGGCGACGCCGGCGAGAGCCAATGTCCCAGTGAACTATAAATGTCTGTATTAATGATCTAATGTTTGTAGTGAAGTATATTATTTTTTAATAGCAGAAATTTCTGTACTCAGTATAATCTATAGTCAGTATTAATGTCAGTTCGTATTGTTTCCGAGACGTTATATATAAACAGTCATTCCAAGCTTTTTTCAACTGAGCTATTGGTATTTATATTTCATTGATAAACTGTAAAATATTATATTTAACCAGACACAATACTAAAGTAAAATGTGGTGCCCGCTTACAAATAAAACTTTCGGCGTTTCCGCCGCCTACATGCACAAGTAAAGTTATATTTAGCACGCTACACATTTTCCTGTCGGCCGCCAGTTGGTCTGTATATTAGGATCAAAACTGCGTTTTAAAGCCTTCAAAATAAAATATTTGAGCTCAAAATACTATCAAAATGAGGAGAAAAGTGAGACGAATCCGCTGGCATACGGCCAAAAACGAGAAAACCAACAATTCCGAAGTTATCAAGGATCAAACGGACTGCATTTTTAATTAGTTCAATAATTTTGAGCGATTTGTGAACAATACAATTTCGCTTGTCTTTCAAAGGCAATAAATCACTAGAATACATCAAATATAATCGCTTGACATCTGTGAATATAATTTCTTACGCTGATTCGAACAGTAGTATTTTTGTCCTTGTTTGACGCATAAAACCAGAGATAAAGCTTAGCAAGTAGACAAAGTCACAAACAAAGTCACAGGCAGAATATAATGCGGTGCCAAAAATGGCACGGGCACCGCAAAGTGAGAAATATTTAGATGTCGGCCATAATTCTGTTTGCATATATTATTACTGTAAAGTCATTAGACAGCAACTTCTGGGGCACGTGGCCAGCACGCAGTCGACTTGAACTCGTCCTGTCAGGTGACAACAATTTCTTGCAAGCTGTTCATTTTTGTTTCATTTCGATTTTCGAAGGCGTTTTATTTTGTTTTGTATTAAATATACAACGAAAAATGGGTAGAAAATTGAATTAAAAGCAAAGAAAAAAGATCTGGACTAAAGCCACCATTCAAGGGATTAAGCTGTGGAAAATCATCCATGCGAAAACAACAAAATTTACTGTCGTGGCTTGTAATATATAAACAAACGCCAAACAACTTCCTTATAGATGCATCAATCCTATCAGTTCATACATTAATCATTATGCGAATCAACATATTAAAATCTTAATTATCATTTGTCATATCAACTTTGCACTATCCTTGGGATCTCTGAGTTTAGAAAGCGGTATCAATTTCCCGCGTGCGTAATACAAAATGACTGAAAAACGGCAAACTTCGCAGCGCTATATTATCCGCATTTTACAACATTTCGCAACGAAACTTCGGAATATTACTTGAAAGAGTTTCAAGCCGTGATAAAATTTTTGTTGAAACTTGTCTAGATCAAAATTTTGTTCATTAGGGAATACGTCCATTGTGTTGCTCATGCATGCAAAGCCATGCATCCATAAATAATAGTAATTCATTCTACTGCTGAATTAAAATTTACATAAACGCGCAGTACATATTGTAGTTTAGGTAAATTTATTTAAATTAACGTTCATTTACCCCCAAACGTAAGTGGATTTGATGTCGGCTACGCATGCTTTTCCTCCTTGATGCGTAGACCCCTCAAAGTATTTCTGTTGGCGTGCACGGCGTATAGACAAGGCCAAATTCAGTTATTATGATGTTATTTCGATACAAGTTGAATTTGAAATTACCTTTCACACTTGGCTTTGGCTTGCCTTTCAAATAAATATACGTAGTGTTTTTTTACAAAACAGAACAATTGAAAATGATTTAGCTGTATATATATTTTCAATAATTCAGGAAGTGAGTGATGAACTACGTAGCATGGCTGAACGGTATCAAGCGTGGTGTGAACGTAATGCCGAGCGTGGTGGTGGTGACCGCAGAAATGCAGGTGCGTATCAATGCTTTTCGTCTCTGTGATCAGGATGCAATTTCCCCAGTATGCAGTTGTCTTCTTATAATTTCGCCTCAATGGACCAATCCCCAATTAACCAAAATTTTGAACCCAACAAGTCTAGACAAAAATTTCATCACAGCTTGAAAGAGTATCACAAAATTAGTAATATTCTAAAGTTTCGTTGCAAAATGTTGTAAAATGCGGATAATATAGCCTTGCGAAGTTTGCAATTTTCAGTCATTTTTAGATTACAAACCGGAAATGGTTACCACTTCTGTGCGTGTACAAAACGACTGAAATTTACAAACTTCGCAAGGCTATATTATCCGCATTTTACAACATTTCGCAACGAAACTTTGGAATATTACTAATTTTGTGATGCTCTTTCAAGCTGTGATGAAATTTTTGTTTAGGCTAGTTAAGATCAAAATTTTGGAAAAGTGGTAACCGTTTCCCGCTCGTAATACAAAATGACTGAAAATTGCAAATTTCGCAAAGCTATATTATCCGCATTTTACAACATTTCGCAACGAAACATTGGAATGTTACTAATTTTGTGATGCTCTTTCATGGTATGATGGAATTTTGTCTAGACTTATTGAGATCAAAATTTTGGTTAATTGGGGATTGATCCATTGCATGAGTGAAGAGTGCTTCCAGTTTGACTTAGCCTGCGTGGCAGGCTCAATCTGCAACAATCTCAAGGAAATTTGATCACCGCCCACTAATTACTATATATGATAATTTATTTCCAATTCAACCAATCATATTCTCTGAAATTCGTGCGCGTGATGCAGTGTGAGTAATGACTATAAATATACTTTATTACTGTTGTAGTTCATAGAGTAGCTCGAGAATACAAACTTTTAAAAAATTGGCAGTTTAAATCACTTTTGGAGTAAATAAATGTATTTAATCGGATACATAATTTGTCAATCAGTATTTTAAAATTGATCGGGTATAGCTACTGTATTATTTAGAGAAATACCAACACGTGCATGGGTTTGTATCCATGCTCTTCGACTTGTCAAGGCAGATACTGTAGCCAATGAGAAAACCTGCCAAAACATCTCAACGATTTCCAGTTGTTCAGTTCTTAGTTTAAAAGCCAAATTCACAGTACTCTTAAGCGTATAAACATTGCGCCATAGTGATTTATGCGTATTTTACCAAATTTCCCCGAAATACCAAATTTCCTTCACATTGTTGCAGGCCCATATTCAATGAAGTTTGACTCTACCAAACAGCATATGTTTCCTCCGCGTACTCCTGTAGCAATATACACTTAATGTCTGCTCCCGAGGGAAATAGTTTGTTTTGTTTTCCCGAGAGTCTCAATGTTTACCGAGACGAAGTCGAGGGAAACATTGAGATTCGAGTGAAAACAAAACTATTTCCCGAGGGAACAGACATTAAGCGTTTTGTTATATGGCGACGAACAAAAAACAACATTCGTACAGCAATTGTATTTCGTGAAAAAAACTCTATAGTGTGAACGCAAAAGAACTAATTATTTTTTTCAGGCGGTGATGGGTGTTTCAAGTGTGGTGAACTTGGTCATTTTTCACGTGAGTGCCCCCAAGGCGGGGGATCGCGAGGGTCACGAGGTGGCAGCAGGGGACGCGGGGGACGACGGGGATCACGCCGAGGTCGTGGAGGGGGTATTTCTATGGATATGTGGTGGTGATAGTTAGGGATATATTATCAATTAGTGAAATACGCTATTGTTTGTGTTGTATAAATATATTTGAACGGTGATATTATATCGTTGAATATTGTTTGTGTTGTATAGATATCGTTGAATATTGAATATAACCTATCTAACTATTATATAGAGTGTGGTATAATGTGCGTTACTATGTGCATGCATAATATTGTTGCAACCTGTTGTACATGCAGTACAGTACAGTACAGTACAGGCAGTACAGCAGGCTCAGCGTTTTTTGGCCATGTAGAACCCACACTTCTCTATGACAGGAAACAACGCCCAAAGATGGAAATTTCGAATTCCTCGAGGTTCATGCTTGCATGCAAACTTTTAACGATACCAAATACAAACTGAAGGGAGCCACCTTCGAGGTTATGGCGTTATGACTGAACAAACGTCAAATTTGAGCACCAAACTCTCGTAAAAAGTGCACATGTTCTGGTGTTAAATAATGTGGCAGCCAATTTTGTACAGTTACGCATGCAGGTTAAAATATGGCTGCTTCGTCTTGAGGCAACTCAAATGTACATGGAAATATACATTTTGTTCTTTGAACATCCACTTTACGTATTTGTGATATTCAGTGCATTTAGTAAAACGCAATTTATTTTCTTAGGAAAAAAACTTCATCTTCATGGTTGTTTATTAAACGTTACTGGGAGTAACATTGAGTATTACAGTCAAACCGGATGTTCTGTTCCCATGAGTATTGCAACATTGCAATCAATCTTGCAATGTTGAGTGGCAAATTCCAGTGAACTCCATGCATGTCTTTTATCTGGAACGATAACATGCGGGCGAAACGTGAAGCAACGCCACTTCACGCTAACGCCAGCGTGCTGACGCACACTGATTCGTGATAGACCGTGCGGTGATGGCGTATAAGGGAACTGAAAGTGACATACTATATGGCGTGGAGCGGTGGAGGGCTGCAATTCAGTGAACTCAATCTATTTACCTGGAACGCGATGACATTCAGTCATTTGACAGTCAAAAAGTAAAGCCTCGCGTGAGCAACGCGCGCGCGTGAGCAGTGGCGTCAGCTCTCCACGCCGTTTCCACGCTATATAGTACATCAGTTTCCTTCCCATTATACGCCATAACGCCATTACCGCGCGGTCTATTACGAATGAAGTAGGTAATCTTCGAGTTAAGCCCCAACCACGCCCAAACCACATCAGTGGTTTTTCAAAGGTATTTCCACAGCAGTGGAAATACCTTTCAGTTCAAGTATTACCGGAATCGGGTTAACCGCGAGCGAAAGACATGCCGGGCGAAATTCTACTCTTCAAAAGTAAAGAATCTTAAATCGACCAAACCGAAGAGATGGTGGAAGGAGGTGAAGCAGATTGCTGGTATGGTACCTACAACCGGCTCCGATGACCTATGTAGTCAACTTCATTTAGACGATATCGAGAATATGCAACGTCCTGACATTGCGAATTTAATTAATAACGCCTTTTTTAGCCTGCGAACAGGCTCAAGCTGAATTGAGAGCCTGCATCGATGACTAATGAATTTGAATATCTGCGTCTCAAATCGTGATGCGAAATTGTCATTGGTCAGATGCTATAATTTATATTATTCCGCTGTGCTCTATATATATATATATATGTCAACTGCTAGCACTATGCATAAAAAATACATTAACTGATCAAATTGGTCTTGGCCATCTTATCTCAAAGCACGAAATGTTTTGAGAAAACAGTATTTAAAACATTTAAACTTGTGCTTCAATATCTTATATTTCGAAAAACAGTATAAACTGTACGGTCTAAATTTAGTTTGCATGGTCTAAATTTAGTTTGCACGAAAGTTGTAAACAACACCATATAAGGATAGACATTCCATATTTGGAAAAACGAACGTTACGGGGCAGATATTCAAATTCATTAGTCGTCGATGCAGGCTCTCAATTCAGCTTGAGAGCCTGTCCGCAGGCTACGCCTTTTTGGAGCCCATGAACTCCTTCAATCCACTGTCAACCCTTCCCCCCTTTGATAATTATTCCTCTTTTCAAGTGAACGAATTGGAAGTCTTTCATTTATTGAAAGCAATTAATCGTGGAAAGGCGTCAGGTCCTGACGAAATTCCCAATTGGGCTCTTAAGGAATATGCTGAAATCCTTGCACAGCCAGTATGCGCTGTGCTAAACAGCAGCTATGCCGAACAACAACTACCTAAATCTTGGAAGCTTGCCAACATTGTGCCCCTCATAAAAACTAAGCCCGTTAGCGACATTTGTAAGCAGTTACGACCAATTTCACTTACTGCCGCTATTTCGAAAATCGCTGAGGACTGTGTTGTTAAAAAATACATTGCTCCAGCTATCATGAGTATAATCGATCCAAGTCAATATGGAGTAATACCAAGAAGTTCAACTACTCTCGCTGTTATATCTATGATCCATGAATTGTCGCAAGCTACTGATGGCACTGGCTCTGCTGTCAGAGTCATCCTGTTCGATTATAGAAAAGCATTCGACCTTATCGATCATGCTTTACTGGCTGATAAAATTTCCAATTTAGCTATTCCACGTGCGGTTGCTCGCTGGACAATCGATTTTTTGATGAATCGAAAGCAGAGAGTGAAATTATCCAACGACTGCTATTCGGAGTGGGGAGATGTACTTTCCGGTATCCCTCAAGGTACAAAATTAGGGCCCTGGCTATTTTGTTTAATGATAAACGATCTTGATATTTGTGATATATCGAGGTGGAAGTTTGTTGATGACACAACAGTTGCTGAAGTAGTTAGTAAGGACACAGAGAGCCGTGTTCAAGTCGCAGTTGATGTTGTGGAAGATTGGTCGAAGGCAAATGGGCTATCTCTTAACGCTGAGAAATGTAAAGAACTGAGAATCGATTTTAAAAAAATTAAACAACCTTTTGATCCTGTACTGGTGGGTGGAGAAGCATTGCCTATAGTTGAGAGTGCAAAAATATTGGGTCTTGTTATGACAGGCACACTTCAGTGGAAAGATAACATCAGAGAGAGTATAAAGAAAGCTAATAAACGCCTCTATTTTATAGTATTATTGAAACGGGCAGGCGTAAATGTCAATGATGTCTTGAACTTTTATTGTACAGTGATCAGGCCTGTGCTCGAGTATTGTGCGCAAGCCTTCCATCATTCCATCCCAAAGTATTTGGCAGACGAACTTGACACTGTCCAGAAGCGTGTGCTAAAAATTTTATCTCCTGAAATGACATATTGTGAGGCCCTTGCCGGCTTGAGTATTTTAGACTGCCTACTCTATTTCAAAGAAGAGAGGACATGTGTGACAAACTCTTTACGAGTATCATCAAGGATCCAATGCATAAACTTCATCATCTGTTGCCCCCGAAGAACGAGACTGATTATTTTTTCAGGACGAATCGGTATTTTAATATGTACGTTACACGCACGAACCGCTTTTATAACTCTTTTATCCCTGCTATGTGTAGGAAGTTTGTAGGATAGATTTTATGCTTATTTTAATCGAATTTTGATCGATGGTGGGTTTTATAATATTGTATTAATAATATATTTATATGTAGTGCATGTGATAATATGTAATCCACGCAATTCAGCTTCTGGCTGCAATGTGGTTTCAATTTAATAATAATAATAATAATATAATATGACCCCAGTTCGTTAAGGGCTTGACTCAATTTAGTCGTAATAAGCTCAGAGGTTCAAAAGCTAGTCAAATATAATATCTTTATAATATTATTTTTAATTTTATAATGAAACTTGATTGTTTATAATAATATAATAATATATTTAGATTTATACAGCGCTTAAATTATATAAAATATTCCAAAGCGCTTTACAACAATGAGGTTATACTATATACATGCAAGTAGCTAAAATATTAAGAATTAAGGTATAGGTGTGTATAAATCTAAAAGTTAGAATCGAAAGCTTTCTTAAAAAGGAAAGTCTTTAATTGAGATTTAAAACAGTCAATTGTTTTACTATTTCTAATACCAGAAGGTAGCATGTTCCAAATTGACGGAGCTGCATGCACAAATGCTCGATCACCAAGAGTCTTGGCTCTAGTTTTTGGGATAAAAAGTAGTCCCTGATCATCAGATCTCAGTTGGTAACAGCAGTTCGGTTTTTCTAACAACAGTTCCATAATGTAGCCTGGCGCCATCCCGTGGAGGGCTTTATATACCAGAAGTGCAATTTTAAAATCAACGCGAAACTTGACAGGCAGCCAGTGAAGGTGCATCAGGACAGGGGTAATATGAGCACATCTTGGTATAAGACACGTCACTCTAGCAGCGGCATTGAGAACTCGTTGAAGACGCTGAAGTTGGTATTGGGGAATGCCGAACAAGAGAGAATTGCAGTAGTCCAAGTGTGACGTCACAAAGGCATGTACGAGCGTTTTAGTTGATTCGATGGAGAGAAACTTCCTTATTTGTCGGATGTTGTACAAGCCCCTAAATGCTTTGCTACAAACCTTGCCCACATGGACATTCATCGACATATGTTCGTCAAACCACGAACCTAGATTTCGGACTTCTTGTACAGGTTTTATATCAGCATCACCAACTTCAATCGAGTCGATTGTAACCTTAGACAGCTGCTGGCGAGTTCCAATTATCAAGAATTCCGTTTTAGTGTCATTGAACATTAATTTATGTGAAACTAACCAAGCACGAACTTCGAGTTGTTTGTGACTCATTTAGGCTGCAGCTTATTTAAAGGCAATTTAGCCGAGACGTATGAGAACTATTTGCAGCTAGAATGTGGACGACTAAAGTCATTGCTCTTTTACATGCCTCAAATGTCGGGGCTTAACGCGAGCGTCGAATATTTTCAATGACTTTGAGTTAAGCCCCTCTTTTTTCACGGGGCTTAACTCGGCCGGGCTCGCAGGCTCGCGCATTAGGGGCTGTTTACATGGAAGCGAGCCAGCCCGGGTACCCGAGCTGGCTCGCATCCCCGAGATGAATTTCACCACGCGTTTACATGAAACTTACATG